TGATGCTTGAGTTATTATGCACCCTTCTTTCAAAGCCATGTTTTATTCCTGCCATTACTCAAATTTGCAAGTTTATGGAATATGTGACACTGAGTTAATGGGACCCGAAAGGAAAACGGATAACTAAGAAATAAAGGAGTAGCGGGCTATGTTTAGGCCATAAATAATCATGTGCAAATGGAGGACATGCATCATTATTCAGCAGCCTAAGCTTTAGGGTTATGGAATGCCCAGCATCTGTGAAGGCTCACAAAAGGGGGGAGGGCGTATATAAACCTCTCCAGCCCCAGGCAAAATAGCGGTTCTAGCTGTAAGGGAGCAGGAGGAATCAGCAACACTAACCTGTGTCAGGGAGGCAAAGAAGAAGTGGAGGCGCCTCTGAACCAATTAGTGGAGCTACAGACAGGGGCACACCCCTGGCATGTTGCTCTCCTGTGGCAGTGTGGGTGCATGCCATTCCTATTGTAAGGCACTATGGCTACATGGCCAGCATTTAGCCCGAGGACTTTAGTTTTGCTGTCAGGACAGTATTGAGCAGAGCAGCTTGCTGTTTTAGGCAATGCCAGCAATGATTGTTCAGGTGGTTGGGAAATACCAATCTGTTGCCCTGCAGCTGCTGTGCTCGGCCGTTACTAGCAGGTGCGTCGCTATTCTTAATTGTTCATTTAGTTTTATATCTGGAATTTGTCTTCCCTGGGTTTACACTGAGCTAAGTTCCATGTTCCTTTCCTCTCCTGCCACTGAAATTGAAATGGTTTAATTGCAGATTTAGAGTGTGTGTGTGTGTGTGTGTGTGTGTGTGTGTGTGTGTAAACACACTTCTTAATTTCCTAGTGTCTGTGCTGTGAAATGGCACCAGCCTAGTTCTTACGGTAATTCAGAGGACATGCATTTTATTAGCTTGGTGCCTGCTGTATTTTCAGGGTTCATCTGCTAAAGACATCTGGGTCTGTAGGGCTGTTTGCAAAATACTGTACTGAATTTTTTTATATGTGCTGTTTGCATTTTCTTTAAAGCTAATTGGCAGTCTGCCTGAGGGAGAAACATATTAGTGACATTACTTTTGAAGATAACTGGGCCTACAGGGATATCTACTGTCCAGAAATAGGGCATGCGTCACATTACTTATAAATCTAAGCATCCTAGTGCTTGCCCCAACTTTTCTGCCCTGTAACTAACAACTCAGCCATCACCCTTTATACCACATATCAATTGTGAGGTAGGTAAATGTTGTTATACCCACATTTATATGGGTGAACGGAGGCAGAAAGAAATTAAGGCCTCCATTTTCAGAAGCGGCATCTAATTCTGGGTTGCCTCCATTTTTGGATGCTCAGATTCAGCAACCTGGGGCCTGATTTTCAGAGGTGCCAAACAACTGCAGCTCCAGCTGACATCAGTTGGAGTTGTGGGGACCACCTGAATATCAGGCCCTTGCAGTCTTAAGCTCAGCATCCAAAAATGGAGGGACCCTACATTTGATGCCCCAGTGACATGAATGCAGATCTTTACTGTGGCTTCAGATCACATCTTGAGTGACTTGCCTGAGGTTACACTCTGAGTCAGTAAAACAGCTACAGCTAAAGTCCCCTGGCTTTATCCATTTGCCATCTCTCCCTTTCCTCTTTGGACTCATGTTTAATATTATGCTGAAATTATCACCAGCGAAAGGGATTTTAACTGTGTGGCAGTATCTCATTGCTTCTATCACTTACATGTTTCCAAGTTTTCATCCTCCGTATCCACATATTTTTAAAGAATATTAATAGAACTACTCGTCAAGCAATGGTACATTGCGGCTTCTGATATGTATAATTTACATAAATTATTTTTAAACAAAATAAAATCCTCCACAGGAGCATAAAATTAAAGTTGGAATGCGATGGAGTGAAAATGATTATTTATTGTTATGATAGCGTAAAAGATTGGATTTAAATAGGTGATGGCATTTAAAGGCTTTCCCCATTTATCCTTCTCCTGTGTGTTCTTGGCAGTAGGGAAAAGAGCACAGAGATGGGACATGGAAGAAGGAAATGAAAGGAGTATCAAGATTGGACTCATTGGGGGAACAGAAGAAATAATTGGGAATGCAGTAGGAGACAAGTCTTGAAAGCGTGTCCAGGTTGTGCTGTGCCTTGAAGGGGAGAATGTGAAGTTAGAACTCTATGTGGTATTTTAAGAGTTGCCAGTAGATGAATGCAAGGCGGGGGGGGGGGGAGAAGAGGGGGTGATCTAACATGATCAGATCACTGAGCAAGGAAAATAACCTTTGCAGTCATGTTCTGGATGGATTGGTACAGGCAATGTACATATCTAGAGGGCTAGAATGTAGTAAGTTGCAGTAGTCAAGATGGGAGAGGCTATGGCATGGACAAGCATTTTGGCCACATGGGCAAGAAAGAAGATCAGATTTTTTGTGTGTGTTGTGAAGGGGGGAAAAGGCAGCAGGGTTTGGATATGGTGGGAGATGAAAAAGAAAGAGTCAGAGATGGTTGCAATCCTGGACAACAGTGGAGGATGCTGGTGCTGTCAATTGCCAGAGAATGGGGAAAGCGGAGAGGGTTTAGAAGAGAATATATTATATGTCTCTGATATTATCATTATAGCACCAAACTTGTTAATCTGCACTGCTGGCTGGAAGATCCTTTGGGAAGCACGTCTCTGAATTTTGAAAGCATTTTGCAGGAATACTTTTATTCCTTTCAGAGACTTCACAACTACAGATATTACTAAAGATGAACACACCAGTAGGAATCTTTGAGTTCGTGAAGGGGTCCCATTGTGAATTAATCAGATACTTTTCCCACAAGTGGTCATTCTGTTTAATAATGCTGACTGGAAGACAAATGGACCAGAAGAAATAATACGTACAGAGAATTCCTCAGATGAATCTTGGCATTTATGCAGTAGGGGAGCTCATCTTCTGTGCACTTCAAGTAGTGCAGTGCCCTCCTGTGTATCATTACAGGATGGGAGCCTTACTAATGCAGTCCACTCTGCTAGCCCAATTAAGGAAGCTCTTTTGCTCGTTCTTGTGAACCTTAGAGGGGAGCCTGGTGCTGTAGAAAACTTTAAAAACCTCTTGCATAATGTTTCCTGTATGAACACCTACTAGCCTGACGTGGTAGGTAATATTATACATCCCACAGATGAAGCCTCATCCCCCAACCCAGGTTACATTTTCAGAGGTCTTTTTTTTTTAATTAAAGCTCTTTGTGGGAATTTCTTCAGTTAATTTAGAATTACAGCTGCTGATGTGATTCATATAAACTTTATATTAACCACATAACTAAGGCACGGCCATTGAAAAATCTCTGGAAGGTTGGAAAAGATTGTAATGATCAGCTAAGGTAACATATGTACATTTTCTGCTACCTTTGCAGGCCCCAATTCTGCACTATAGAAGCATAGCAATCTTCCCATGTGGATCGCCATGCAAGATTGAAGCTATACTTTAACTGGATGTATAATGTCAATATTGACATGTGAGAATTCACCTTACTTAGTCTAGTATCCACCATAACTCTGACTCCAAAACTTACTTGTAAACCCTTCCAACATATGCACCACTAATATATGTGCTTCTTTGACTGTATAAACTACATGTCATAGTGATACATATATTGAAAGCGTTGCATGTCTTGTCAATGAATATCAAAGGCTATTCTTGGAATATGTACTGTATGATTTCACATATCAGCATTGGTTCCCAGTGGTCATGCTGTAGTTACATATTTTGCACATGGACCATATGAATTACATCAGCAATCTTAACTCTTTGATAACCAAGTTTTTTGTAGGTAAACTGTATAATTTAGTTTAAGTACAGTTGGTTAATGAATGAGTTGTTGACCACATTTCAGTCTTATTTGTATTTTCAGCTCTCTGTCGGAGGGCCTCAGTGATCTTCTCCTTAATAGTTGACAGCTTATTGTCAGGAAAATGCCATCTGTGTCCAAATGCCCTTATGTTCCACTTGGAATCTATCACTGATTTTCATCATGATTTGTGTAGTAACTAATGATCTTCACTTTTTATTGATCTAACAGCTGTTGACATTTCTAAGCTAGCGCACATTGCTGTAGTGGGTTTGAGCTACTTCTGTAATCCAGCTTCAATATTGAAAGTCGTCCCTTAATGGCAGAAAATCAGACGGGCAGTGCAGAAGTGGATTCGTTTACCTAGAGGCCTCCAACTGTGACATCAGCTCTCACGTTCACTAGTTTGGTATCTTCACTTCTTAAAAACAAAATTGGAATGGCAAAGCAACTGGCCAGGGAATAGTCTTGTTCTATCAAGTGCCATAGGGCTAAAGGGATTTCATATACTGCATTTTGCAGACCTTTTGCTACCGTGTACCAGCTGCTGCCTAGCTTCCAGGTCACGAGCCTCCAGCACCACACAGTGCAACAGTTCTTTATAGCTTGGATCAATCTTGCATCCAGGTCCTGGCACAATACAGATAATTTGCTGCTGAGTGTGTGTTCTTTACTTCGTACAACAGACATCTTTGTGAAGTGTTTTTCTCAACCTCATTAAAAGCATGCAATTAGCTAAAGATGCCTCATTTGCAACCAGGCATATGCCTAGTTGAGCCTAGATCAAAACTGTCTGCTACCAGCTCTCCTTCATCCAGGAAACCAGTTGAATTTGTAACTTCTTACCCAGCTACGGCACGCTTCATTGCCGTAAATGCCTGGTGTTCAAACACTTTTCTGTCTCATTAAATTGTCTATATTTTCATCAGATTTAGTGCTCTAGGGATTTGACCGTGGTTTTAAGTTCTCTAGTTGGTGGGCTGTTTAAAAGATTAAAAATTGTATTTGTTATTTATTGATCTGCACGTATATATAAAATGTGGTGCTTAGCTCTGAAGAATGGTTCTTGAGCTGCTTAGTGTGTGTATTCACTCTAAGTTCAACTGCTTTACTGCAGTTCCAGGATTGTTTTGGGATCAGTAGAACCTCAAGTAACATTTATTGTGTTCTTTAACTTTTTAGGAGTTTGTCCAGCTCTCCAAAAGTCTGATGAATGACCCCACTTTGGAAAGAGAAATTGTGACAAAGGCAAAAGCGTATGTGAAGAAACACCATTCATGGGACGGTGAAAGAGAGGCCTATCAAAATCTTGTCCTGAGACTCCAGTGAATCATTGGGTATCAAATGTGGAAACTGATCTTATTCTGTATCACTTTAATGGTGACACTGTAATCAGATTATTTTAAAGAAAAAAAATTCACATATTATGGACATATTGTTCCACTCGACTTTGCCCAATTTACAAACATACTGCATCAGACCGGTAGTCCATCCAATTCACCATCCTGTTTCCAGTGGTGGGTGGCACCAGTGAAATCAAGAAAATGTCGATTTCTTAATATTGTTGGATCATATGGGCCTCAAAAGAGGGCTATTTCTTGTGCACGGGGTGGATTTCATCCACAGTGAACTCATTCAAACTCAGTTACTGTGTTGTAGCCTGACAAAGCTAATGGGGATTAAGGCATTTACACTCAAATTTAATTAATCTGAATTTATTCAGATATATGTCAATGATAAACATAATGTTGTAAGAATGGGTTCATCTCTATTTTGAATGATCAAACATATAAATACATTAAGCATCTTAGCCAGGCCTACATGATCTAAATTTTAAAGGGGGAAGATCATAAATTAATCACATGACTAGCACTTTTATCAAGAATGGAACTGGCTGGAGCTAATGAGAAATACAGACATTGATGCTTTCTAGCATGAAAAATTGTACTCACTGTTTGCTGTTTACATATTCTACTTTATTTATGAATTATTGGAAGACAGCAACTACCTCTTAAAAATTACCAAACTTCAGGGACCTCACAAATGGTGAATGTTCTTACAAAAGATGGATGGAGGCTATAATAAGGAGCAACGATGTAATTTGGTACTTTTGTCATGAGTGACTCTCAGGAGTTATTATTGTGAACTTAATGTAACAGGATATTGTATTTTAAGAAGAGCTACTAATTCCCACATGAAGCCTAAACCAATCATTATTGACTGCTCAATGGTTAAAGTAATATCTTGGTTTTCCACAATCTGGTGTCAAAGAAGGCTGCTATTTCTAAAACACGCAAAGTGTTTATAATTTTTAAACATCTGTTGTTGGGAAACTATAGTTGCTATCTATGGGCCTGATCCAACCCCCACTGAAGCCAGTGGGAATCTTTCCATTGACTTTAATGGGCTTTGCATCACCCCCTATTTGTGTTAATGAATTTACTGTGCATGTTGGTTTTCCAATTGACCTCTTGGTTGTGTTGCAAACGTTTAGTCAGCAACCCTGAAGAAAACGAGTAATTTTAGTATCCTTCATTCACTTCTGAGACCTTTTCTAATTTTCTATGGTAATATATTTGGAGTGGTTTGACTCAGTTGGTACTGTCCTCAATAGCATGGGACATTGCAAACCATGGGGGACAAAACTGGAGTGACTTCAAGGGTTATAACTGCGATGCTCTTTCTATAGATGTTCTCTTGCTCTTATGGTTTTTGGTAAAAAACAGCCTGGCTCAAAGGGGAAGGAAAATCATCTATTATGATAGAAATGGAAAAAAAGGAGAAGTCGATAGCAATGCATATAAATTAGAAACTAGAAAATATAGAAAATTAATAAGGGAAGCAAAAGGATACAAGGAGAAATCTGTGGGCAGTACAGTCAAATAAAAATAAGTTTTTTCAATTATATAACGAACAAAAAGAATCTTAACAGTCTTAGATATTGGTTCATTACTATATGGATATGGTAGACCAGTAAATAATACAGAAAAAGCCAAAGTGTTCAATCCATATTTCTGTTCTTATTTGAGAAACAAGAGATGATGTATTTATATCATATGATGATAGATTTTTCCAATCACAGTAACTAAGGATGATGTTAAACAGTCGCTAAGGATGATGTTAATAAGTCTTGTCAAACTAACTTCATATCACTTTTTGATGAGTTTGGTTAATAAAAGTAATAGTGTTGATGTAATATTCCTCGGTAAGGTATCACACATCATCTGGATTAATAAACTAGAATGATGCAAAATCAACATGGCATACATTAATGGATTAAAAAGTGGTTACAATGATAGGTCTCAACATTTAATTGAAAACTGGAAATTATCATTGAGCAGCTATGGGGGTCCACAAGGATCGGTTTTTGGCCCGATGCTAACATTTTTAATCCATGACTTGGAAACAAACATATAATAATTACTGATAAAGTTTGCAGATGACACAAAGATTGGGTGAGTGGTAAATAATTAAGAGGACAGATCGCTGATAGAGAACAGTATGGATTGCTTGGTAAACTGAGCACAGGCAAACAATATGCATTTCAGTATGGCTAAGTATAAGGCCATACAAAGAATACAAAGGAGCAAAGAATGTAGGCCATCCTAAAAGGATGGCCAACTCTATTCTGGGAAGCAGTGCCACTGAAAAAGACATGGGCATCATGGTAGATAATTAGCTGAACATGAGTTCCCAGTGTGGCCAAAGGGCTAATGCAATCCTTGGATGTATGAATGGAAATTCTTGAGTAAGAGTAGAAAGTAATAGTAATGCTACCTCTGTATTTGGCACTGGTGCGACTGCTGCTGGAATACTGAGTCCCCAGTTGAAGAAGGATGTTGATAAATTGGAGAGGGTTCAGAGAATGAGTCAAGGACTGAAAAAAAACATTCCTTATAGTGAAAGACTTACGCTAAATAGACTCAGCTCCTTATCAGAGAGAAAGCTTAGGGGGTGACTTGATAGTCTATAAGTACCTACATGTGGAACAGAAATTTCATGAGCACTCTCTTCAGTCTGCCAGAAAAAAGGTATAACAAGATCCACTGGCTGTAGGTTGGAGTTCGAGCAATTCAGACAGGAAATAAGGTGCAAATTGTTAATAGTAAGAATAATTCCTCATTGTAACAACTTTGGAACCTCCATTGTGGTGGATTCGCCATTAGTGGCAGTTTTTAAAATCAGACTGGATGGTTTTCTTAGAGAGATGTAGTTTAACCAGTGCTATTGGACTTGAAGCAGGAACTAATACAGGGAAGTCCTATGGCCTGGAGGAATTCAGACTAGATGATCACAATGGTCCCATGAAATCAATTATATAAATCTCTCTCTGGGGGCAGTTTGCCACCACCTAGATGCTGAGAAATAATTATGTCAGCATGAGTTCTGAGTTTAATGGCCACCAGCCACCACATATTGATTAACACATTTTAAACCTGCAAATGAATCTTGACCTATCAGTTACTCCTGGCCACTTTTATTTCAGACTGTAGGCCCAACATTGCTGTGGGCTACGCCATTGCCAGCCATTGGCGACGTAGCTCTGCAGGCCACGGTCTCTCTTTTAGCCAGTCCCCCACTTCTTCCACAGGAAGTTAACTCCTGAAGGAGGAATTTAAGAGGAAACTCTTCCAGGGAACCACAAGGAGGTATATGCTCAGGTGGTATAAATGGACATCGTTCCACTGACTTCCAGTCTCCCAGAACCAGCTCTCACAGGACTTCCCTGTCTGTATTTTCTTGATCCTCCACCTGCACTACTGTGACCTATTATACACTGTTTTCTGCTCCTTCCTACAACACACGTCTTTTGACAAATATGCAGAGGCATGGTCATTAAAACAAAAACGCGGGCTGGAGTTCAGCTCCACCGCTAAGTACTGAGCTAATGGTGTGATGATTAGAAAACTTGTTTTAAATGCAACACACTTAATTGCCAAATATCAAGCAACTTTACGCCTTGACAAATTGTACCTGAATATGCCATTTGCAGTACTTCCAGCAAAAAATGTGTTCAAGTAAGAAATTCTGTTACACCCACAAAACGTAATTAACATGCAATTTTTCATGCAGTATTTAATCTATACATATGAAAAATGCATCCGGGAATAACCGTGCAGAAAATGAAAACAAACAACCCTGCTGAAACATATGTATTAAAAACTAACCCAAGTTGTACTGACAACAGCACTTTGGCCTATTTTATACAATCATCCAGTGACACTGTTCAGTGATCACTGGCATTCAATTTAGATGCCATTCATCACCTAACTTTTCTTGGGAGCAGTAAAACCATGTCTAGCTAAGATTAGGAAGCTAAGGGCTACAGTATTTACAAGGGGCTATTTTTCAGTCACAATAAATGTGTATTTATATACCCGACTCCATACATGTTTTGCACTTTATCCAGCCTTTTATCCAAGGATTACAAATACTCATTAAGCCTCATAATCCCCCTGTGAGGTAAATATTAGACCCATTTGACAGATGGATAAACTAGGGCACAATGGACTTTTCATGTGACCTTAATTAATTTTAAAACAGCCAAACTCATTTTACATGCAACATTAATCACTTTTGACCCGAGGCCTTCTTTCCTTCTACTCCCATCCTTATGCTAGACTCTTGGCTTCCTCTTTCCAAAGCCATTTCCTTTACCCTGTGAAGTCCTGCAACTGAGGCCAGCCTCAATTTAGTAACAGCTATGGCTCCAAAATGATTTGCTCCAATTCCTGTCCCAGGAAAACTCACACTGAGTATTATCCCTGTGGCTGGTACTGTATTTCAGGACCTCAATATGTACAGTTAATTAATCCAATTAGGTACACCCCAGGAGGCACTATGACTCAGACACAATTCTTTCCCTGCTCCCTTGCTCCCAGGGGTTAGTAATTTACTTTTGGCCTATACCAGTAATCAATTACTACTCTCTCCTCCCCTCCAACATTGGCTCAGATACTTTGGCCAGCAAATGGAGGACGTAGATCTAATCCTCTATCTATTCTCAACTCCAATTCTGGGGAGGGAGCAAGCAGGTGAGTAACCCCACTTACCCCTGGGTGTAAAGTCCCAATAGCCTGCATAAGATCTTACTCAGAATTTGAATTGTGCAGCCTCAGCGCCATCTAATAGTTCTAGCAGCTTCAGCACCAGAATATGAAATGGTTCTTAAAACAGCAATATCGCCCTGATAGAATTGGGGAAATTCTTCACATACAGCTCCTTAAGGGTTTAAAGAGAGCAAAAGTCGAGCTTTCCTGTTCAGATATGGCTCATTACAGTAATGTGCAAGGAGTTAAAAGCCAAACAAAATAAAATGGTCTCTCCCACGGAACCAGAGTATTAAAAGGGCTGTGAGGAACAGCAGCACTTTCCGTAAGTGTTTTAATACACGAGGGCTCTTTGGGGAGACAGGCTTCAACTATAATTGATGTCTCATGGCACTTAGAGAGTTAACATTTTAAATTTGGCCTTCCAAAGTGGCAAAAGTTAACAATTCTACTGAGCAGTTGTCAGTTTATCAGAGATGCCAAATGTCTGTAAGACTCGTACATGTTAAATCTGACATTTTGCAGTAGGCTGGATGGCTCAGTGGATTAATCACAGCCCTTTGGGATGCCACTTTCAATCCAAAATTGACCGGAGTGATTTAAAATCTTAATGGATGGCTCAGAGCTACCAAATTAGCCAAAGGTAGTTACTTTCTGATCTCAAGGAGACAAGCTCTTTTCTCTTGCTATTAAGCTAGTTCAAACATCAGAGCTTGAAAAAAAAAAAATCAGAGGAAGATGTTAAACTCTATTTTAAGACTTAAAAGCTCTTGGTGCTTCTTCTTCATATGTAATTTGCCATCAGCTTAACCTGAACATCAAGTGAACTAACAAATGTCACAATTAGACCCTTTCTGCTAATTGAATGTGAAAATTTGATCAATCTTTGCCCTCTTTTCCATGGCTTAATCTTACCTGATGCTATCTTTTCTGTTGTGTAGTGGGGCTTGTAGCTTGTTCTCTGTCCCTTTCTCGCCCTCTTTTTAATCTTTTGGTCAAGAGCAGTTCTTCAGGAAAATAAAGAAACATTTTTGTCAGAGGCTTGTCCTAAGGGATGGGTGCTTCCATGTGGAAATCAATCATTTAATGGCTCAGTGGGATCTGAGCATTTTTTTCATTAAGTTGTCCAGAGTAATTTCATCACCCGGAATTTATTCCACTTCCGTCTTCTGCTCTGTCTGGTTGGTCCGAGTCTAGTTGCTTTAATATTGAAAGTTTAGACTCTAACCACGAGTGGATTTCTGCTGCCTATTGCAGGAGACTGCCTGCTGTATCGGTTTGAGGATGTAGCCCAAGTATTCATAGTTACTGGAGGCACATGTGGTTCTTCCCAGAATTGTCCAAAGTTAAGGCCCCAAGGCTGAAGACATATAACTTCACATTAAAATGGGATGCTAACATGTAAAGTTATGCAGGGGCTTAAACGTTTGCAGAACTGGGGCCTAACATTTTAAGGATGTTAA